TCCATCAAATCCACTGAAATTATTAACAATGAAATTGTTAATAACTAATAAGGTAACAAATATTCTCATATTTTGCAGTCCCATGCAATTCTGTCACAGTATTTGTGAAAAGCACAGTTCATAAATGTATGTAACTTCATTAATAATATTTAGCTGTGACTTCAGGTTAAGTCAATTTTTAAAACAAAAACACAAAAACCAAATGAACCACCCCCTAGGCATCAATAGATCAAACTTTACAATCAGAGTACCATAAAATTCTCTTGCACTTGCTGCTCACTTGATGGATGAAGGGAAATTCCTCCCAGATTTAGCCTGTTAGCAATAAAACCAAGCAGATGATCTGCTGTGCCTTCCCTTGGCAGTTATAAACTGGGGGCTGCTGCAAGCCACATGATTATATTACTCTACAAGCCATGCTGCAAGTCCTGTGGGTAACCCCAGACTGCAGCAAACACGCTCTAACCTGGAAGCAATTATCCAAAAAATCCTGCACCACAAATCCTTTTACCTTCAGTCATAGCAGTTCCCTTTGCAATCCTATAGCAGTGGTCATCTGTAACGAACTCCCTTTTTAAAATTGGGCTAAGCAAAAAGCCACCTGTGAAAATGTGCTCGAGGCTAAATAAACTGGCAAGCTGTTATACTTGAGGGAACAATCAGGGGAAATATATCAGATTTTGCAGTAATTACGCCTGTCATTTTGAGGCTACAGTATATGGATTTGGATGGGAGGAGAGGACTGAAACTGAAAACTGGTATCTGCTGAGATGCAAGGAAAACAGTGTATCCAATGTAGCACTAAGTTGAAGTCACTTAGCAGTATGTATACTTATTCTGCTGCCAATTTTTTTTTTACGCCAGAAGAATGTTGTTGAGCCAGATAATGCACAAGCAGGTTGCTGGTAGCTTTGTTGCAGGTGAGATGGCGCAACTGTTGCATTGGATATCTCTGTAGTGTAAAATTAAAACTTCCCAGTCTGCTAGTGCAAGAGTCCTTGTACTAGTGGGCAGGGAATGCTGGACACATACCTATGGCTTCTATACTTTTATTAGAAAAATAAAATAACAATATTTGAATGAAAACAACATGCAAACATTAGATCAGGCTGCATTACAGGTCCTTGTGGGGCATCAATACTAGGAGCAAGATCATGTCCCTGGAAGTCTTGCTAGTTGTTGCAGGAGAGGGCCTGTAAATTACAAAATGAGATGGATGTTTCAGGCTACTTTATCCTACCCACAGCCTTTGGGTCTTATAAGAAGCTGTTGCAGGAGAGAGACGTAATAGGAGGGGTGTTTCTGGGTTCAAGTTGAAACTGTCAAGCTGCCTTGTTATTTGTTAGAGCCAGTGTGGTGTAGTGGTTAAGAGCGGTAGTCTTGTAATCTGGGGAACCGGGTTCGCGTCTCCGCTCCTCCACATGCAGCTGCTGGGTGACCTTGGGCTAGTCACACTTCTCTGAAGTCTCTCAGCCCCACTCACCTCACAGAGTGTTTGTTGTGGGGGAGGAAGGGAAAGGAGAATGTTAGCCGCTTTGAGACTCCTTAAAGGGAGTGAAAGGTGGGATATCAAATCCAAACTCTTCTTCTTCTTACTACTTCCATCCTGTTAATATAATCTTGTTATATTTATGGTGCTGAAAATTGGTTTTTTCCTGTTTGCTATTATGTTGCTGTTTTGTCCTGTTTTGGAATTGCTTTTGCAATAGTTGCTTTAGACATGTATCTTTGCTTTCTTTGTTGTTGCTTTGAGCAGGAATCGTTTTGTGGAAAGGCAACATACAAATAAAATTGATGCTGGTGGATAGAAAGAATCTGCAAACATGGCAAACCAGGTCTAAGTTGCTTACTTGATTTTGAATTAGCAGCAAGGCCTGCTTCCCGCTTTGCACTGCCCCACAAATATGTCCATTTGCTGCAGATTATGAGGAGCAGACACATGGGGAAACACACAGAGGAGCTGTGATTGGTTTTGGCTTCCTTAGGCCTATTTGGATATTTATAAACCAGACAATGCCAATCATGGGGGAGGGGGAGTGGAGTCACGCTCAGTGCCCCCTCTGCACTGTGTGTGTGGGGGAATCCCACCTCTACAAATTCAAAGAAACAATCAGGTCTATTTTTCATTTGCTTCAGACCAACACAGCCACAACTGTAGCTTACAAAAATGATGGGTAACAAAACATCACTAGGTGCAGGCTGCAACATTAATCCTACACATATTTGCTCAGAAACAAGTTTCATCCAGTTCTTTAAGGGTTTAGTCTTATCTTCTTCTTCTTTGGCAATCACTCGTAGCTGAGTAAGATTGTTTTCCATGAGCACGGTCTTAACAGTGAGTCCGTAAGTGACTGTGGAGGCCAATTCTGGATCCACACATCCTTCCACAGTGGGGACATAGGTTTCCGGGTGGGAGTTGATCACAGTGAGGGTTTTCCAAACATGTCTTTCTCTTAGCTCATTTCTCCTTTTCCCCTGAGTCAGTGCTTCTTCAAAGTTCATGACACCTTTGGTAAAGACTGTTCTCCAGTTGGAGCGCTCGCAGGCCAGTGTTTCCCAGTTATCAGTACTTATGTTACATGTTTTTTAGATTTGCCTTGAGAGCATCTGTCAACCTCTTTTGTTGTCCACCGGTATTTCGCTTTCCATTCTTGAGTTGGGAATAGAGTAGTTGCTTCGGAAAATGATAATCAGGCATCTGAACAACATGACCAGTCCAACGAAGTTGATGTTGGAAGAATCATTGCTTTGACACTGGTGATCTTTGTTTCTTCCAGCACACTGGCAGTGGTTTGCCTGTCTTCCCAAGTGATGTGTATTTTTTTCCAGATAAACACCGTTTATGGAATCTTTCAAGGAGTTGGAGATGGCGTTTATAAGTGGTCCATGTTTCACAAGCATACAGTAAAGTTGGTAGTACGATAGCTTGGTAAACAAGCATTTCGGTTTCCCTGCAAATGTCCTGGTTCTCAAACACTCTGCATTTCAGTCAGGAGAAAGCTGCACTCGCAGAGCTCAAGCAATGCTGGATTTCGGCATCAGTGTCTTATATATAAGTGTAGGACTGCAACCTTAGTTTATAAAGTAATGATATTTGTTGTGTTTTTAAAAAAGGTTGTGGATTGAGTGCTGCATATGGACTAGAGAAACCCTATTATATCTTGAAGATCATTGGGAAGGCCAACCACTGGGTGCTATCCAACATTTGTTTCACTCAGGGTAGACCCATTGAAATCAAGTCCATTATTTCAATGGGTCGACTCAAGAGTATTATTTAGGTAGCTCTCACCCACTTTTCTCAGCCTAACCTGCTCTGCTGGCGTGCTGTGAAGATAAAAGAAATAGAACTCTGTGTAGTGCTAAAAAGTGTAACTTTCAGGGGGCCTGATTACCAAGATCTTCCCAAGGGCGCCCCTACCATCTAAGGCATGGTGGGGAACAATGAGGAGCAGGGCCTTTTCTCTAGGAACTCCTCTCCCTATTTGTCTGTCAGCCTCCGCCATTTTTATGTATTGGAAGCAAGTAGATATATTTTTGTTAAATAATATTTGGTTTTAATGAGGCTGATTCTGTTCTGTTTTACTGTGGATTTTGTTACATTATTGCATGTGTATGTACACATCTACAAACACAACCAAAACCATATAGCTAGCCATCCGTGGAATCACAGATCGAGAGGCAGTGTATTCATACATAAATAAACAGACACTGATTTGAACTGCTTGGTGAGGGATAAATGCAATCTTTATAAGGGATAAAAATTCAAATAAACTGATTGCATTGCTTTGCATTGCAATAAACAGTCCAATTTTGAGCAGCCCATTTCTTTCTCTTCCCATTTGCCTGGTACATATAAGCTTTAGTGAATATAAGCCACTGCTTCAGAAATGCCCTGGGCCTTATCTTTTGTTCTAGCACGGCAGGCAGAAATTACAACTTTAGATAATCATGGGTAAACTTCACCACTCAAATATCTGCCTATTACACTTGTGGCCTTGCCAAGGGGGAAAGGGTTTCTACCATAACAACAGCACAGTTCATTTTTGCATGGAAATAAATGAGCCCAACATCTCTCTCACCCCCTTCCTTTTTAAATACATAAAACTTGGATATAATTCTCCAATTTATTTTGAAGATGTATGCCTCATATCCCAGTCTATTGTTGTTTCAACTTTTCAAAAGTCTTAAATTATTATTTTTCTTATTTTATTGTCAGGGTAGCTCACCTGGCACCTTCATTACTTATCATTAGGCGCAAGCTGAAAACATTATTCCCCCAAACCTTGGGCTAATGAAACAACCAATGGCCTCTAAAACTGTATGTGTGTTTGTGGGGGCGGTGATTGTCTGCTAGATACTTTTGTGTATTTTTGTGCTTTTACAGTGCAAATCTCCCTGCATTCCTCAGATGAAGAGCGGTGTATTATATCATGGGCGTAGCCAAGCACGGAGCAGGGAGGGGCAGCTGCCCCCCCAAATCAATAAAAATCAATAAAAATACATAGCAAGCTAAGGTTCTGCGCCCCCCTAACAAAAGGCCTAATAAAAAATCCTGGCTATGCCCATGTATTACATATAGTAATAAACAGTGCTTTTTTCTGGGGGTACACATACCCCTAAACATTTTGTGAATCTTTGTACTTTTGTCCATTTACTGTATTTGTTTTCCCCAACTTGAACTATAAAACGGTGATTTTCTTGAGTCAAAATGAGAGTGCCCCTAAAAATTTTTTTTTTAAAGAAAAAAAGCGCTGGTAATAAATAACTAAAATTATCCATTTATAACAAAATTGTATTTATCTTTTTTTTTTGGTAAGCGGCTTTGAGGGGTGTTAAATATCAAGCGGTGAGTTAGATCTTATGAAATGGCTAAAATAATTTCCCCGGGCGACTTTTCTTTCCTTCTGCCTTGCACACCAGCTAATAACTGAAGAAGCTCAGAATGCCAGAGCCGAGCGAAGCCCCCTTCCTGCTTTCCTTCCCTCCTGCGGGCGGCGAGCATGAATGGGAGCCGCCGCCGCCACGACGTCACTGGCGCGGAAGCGGAGGTTGCTCCGCCCCTTCCCTTTCCCCGGCCTCGGTGGCTCACGGGGCTTGGAGACGTCAGATTTGCATGGCAGCCTCCCGGAAGCGCTGAAGTGAGGGAGGCAAAACAGTAGAGGCGGCCAGGTGAGCGATCCGAAGGGCCAGGATGGCCGCTGGGTACCAATGGGGTGGCGCGCCCGGGAGGAGGGCAGGGGAAAAGAAGGGACGCGGAAACTGCAGCTTGATGCATTGCAGGGGACCTCTGGGAAACAGAGGACCCGGCTTTCCAGCAGTCTGAAATAAACTAATCAAATAAAGCATTTCAGGCTTTAATTTGCCCCTGATCTCTGCGCAAAGCCCAAACGAAGAGTCTTGTGGCATCTTAAAAGAGCAGCACATTTTCGCTTTCTTGGAGCACAGCTCATTTCATCAGACCAGACTTATTAAGTGTGTGCATGCATATGTATGAGTGTGGCGTGGTGTGCATCTATCGGATCCAGTGTATTTTCATTGAGAAGGAAATCCCCATAGGTTCACTGGGGCTTATTACATAGTAAATATGCAATAGGACCCCAGCCTTCAACGGATATATGCTGAACATTGGCTGCATGGGACTTCCTGAAACCCCCCCCCTCCCAATGTTGCTCTGTGTGCTTTCACTTATTAGGATTTTTTTTTAAGCAGCTGATGGAGCCAGAAGGAAAATATGAGCTCTCTCTTAAGAACAATTGTTTTATTAATGAAAGTGGAACTGCATTTGAGTATGACTGACGGGCCAGATGAGAAGCTTTCTTTGCTTTTACAATAATGAGCAACAAGGAAAAAAAAAGCTGTTCTGTCAAGGTTATAATGCAAGATTTCAGGTGTGTATGCACCTGAGAAGCAAACAGAATTTTAGACATACAGACCACACACTGTATTCTAGCATTGGTTTAGTATTCCTTAACTAGTCTTCTAACAAGAAAAAGCAACACTTGGCTTGTATGAAGTCAGCACTTCTAAACCCAGCGCCCCAGGTACTTCACAGAGTTCTCCGAAGTAGTGAACCTGCAAAAGGCAGGTTGTTCAGTGAAAAGCTTTATGCCTCAAGCTAAAATCCTGTGAACACCTGCCTATTGAAACATATTGAACTTAGTGGGATTTATTTCTGAAGAAACATGTATGGTTGGACTGTAAGTTGCTTATGTAGGCCAGAACGTGTCTTAATGACAGAACTCTCTAATGTACAGTCCTGGGGACCCATTTCCTGAATGCCTATGTAGCTGCCATAGTAACAGTTTCATAAATAAGCTATTTTATATACTCTGGATATTTTGTGGAGAACTTATTTTCCCAGGGGCTACTTAAAGACCCTCAGTGCACCCTGAAGGAAGGTGGAAGAGGAGAAGCTATGAACAGAGAGCTCATTTCACCAGCTCCTGAAGATGCCACCAGAAAAAAAATCTGCTTTTTGTGGCGCGTGTGTCTTTTAAACCTTATTTCTGTTATTACTCATTTATAGGCCTCCCTTCCACCCCATTTAGTATGTTACCTTTCATTGCGGGTATACAAAGGCAGTAGATAGGTAGATAAATAAATAAAATACAGAAATTATATTAGTGTGTAGGGCTATTTTTAGCTACTATTTATTCTATTCTATTTGATTGGTTAGAATAGTAGAATTGTAGTGTTGGAAGGGACCATGAAGATCATCTAGTCCAACCCCAGCCACAAGGCAGGAAACCCCTAACAATTAAGAACATAAATAATCAAAGCAAAATATTGATTATTTTGGTTTTATTAGTTATAGTCTTGTTGAAAACAGCTTTGATGGTTTTAAATAAAAAAACAGGGTACACAAATTAAACAGGTGCACTGCTATTTTAGCTTAGTTAGCCTGTGTGGCATAAAGGTTAGAGCTCTGGACTAAGACTGGAGAGATCCAGGTTCAAGTCTCGCAAAACTCCCGGGGTGGTTGTGTGCCAGCCACTTCCTCAGCCTAACTTGCACCACAGGACAAAGAGCTGTAGTTCAATGATAGAGGATGTGCCTGGCATGCAGAAGACATCAGGTTCAGCTGTAGGCCTGGAGGGAAAGTCCTGCCTAAACCTCTGAAGAGTCACTGCAAGTCAGTAATGAGCTGGATGACCCAATCTTTTAACCAAGGCACCTTCCTTTGAGGGTGTTGCTTTTGTGGGGAGGCCCTTGTAAGTCATCCTGAGCCCCTTGGAGGAAAGGCCTGATAAAGAAAGAAAATGTGTTCTTTGCAGCCATTTAAATGTGGTTATGGTGTGAGAGCCCTGGGTGCAAATTCTGCCCCTGAGAAATGACTCATTTCTTTTTTGAAGTTCTTCCTGCAGACAGAACGCCAGGTCAGCGCTTTTTGGTACATGAGCAACTTCTTGTACTCCTGCCTGCCTCCAACAGCTCACATGTGTGCACACGACTACAATGTACTTTGTCCTCCTTGCAAGTGTTGCCGTCCACCGTTATGTTTTCTAATCTGTAGCCATTCCAGAATTAAAGTCTAAACTGATTACATATGGCCTGGACCTTGCTGACATTTATCACAATTTGGATCCTTCCACCAACCTAGCAGTCTGAAAGCACGTCAAAGTGCAAGTAGATAAATAGGTACCGCTCTGGCGGGAAGGTAAACAGTGTTTCCGTGCACTGCTCTGGTTCGCCAGAAGCGGCTTAGTCATGCTGGCCACATGACCCGGAAGCTGTATGCTGGCTCCCTTGGCCAATGAAGCGAGATGAATGCTGCAACCCCAGAGTCGGCCACGACTGGACCTAATGGTCAGGGGTCCCTTTACCTTTTTATCAAGCTGTTCAGAGCAACATAAATGGAACCATCTTGTGTATCTTCATAGCAGCTCTGTGAGGAAGGGGCGTCCCTCTTGGGAGTTCTACCTCCCTCAGAAGTTTGGGTATGTGTGTGTGATGGCCTGGGAGGGGGCATCCTCTGTGGCAGCCCCTAAATTGTGGAATTCCTTTCCCACAGAGGTGTGCCTGGCTTCTTCGCTATACAACTTTCATTTCTTTACCCTGGCCTTTGACCCCTGACTTGTGTGATTAAAGGGCCCACCCTAATCCTCTGGTTGTAATCTGTTTTGAGTTTCAAATTGTAAATTGTGGTAACCCACCCTGGAGCCTGCTGGAGTTTAATGATGATTATTATTATGATAAAAATCATCAAGTTTCACACGACCTTGAGCCAGCTGACTGGTTTGAGCCCAGATCTAAGTGTAGCCCTCTCCCCTCCACTATGGCACAATACTTTCTGTTCTGGTGTTGTGAACTGCAACTAGAACAATCCTATCGCTGCAAGGATCACTGCTTGAGATTAACCACTGTGGGAAGGGAAGGGTTATTGTGGCAAAAAGTCTCTGTACCTTTGAAGTTTTGCCCTTTGCTTTGTCAGGCACTGCTGAGTCAATGAAGAGCAAGGAAGGAGCTGAATAGTGTTTGTGCTGTCCAAAGCTGGGGAACCCAGGATTCCACGGAAGGACTAACCAGGACAGGTATTTTTTTTGGGGGGGGGGCATGTATAGACTGTGGTTCTGTCCTTTAAACTGAGGCGGTATTTTACACTGATGAGAAAATGTCATTTAATTCCAGCTTTGTTTGCCTTTGAATACCACAGGGACAGATGATAGCAGGGAAAGAATTAAAACTTACTCCTTGCCTATAATTTAGTGTTGTCAAAGTGATGGAGGTAAATGGCACCATTGGGAATCTAGTGAAATTGGATAAATGACCACCCAAGGAAAATGGAAGGGAGGAGAAAAAGAGCAGCCCCCCCTTTTGTTTTGCTAGAGTAGGACTGTGCCAAAGATCTTATGGACACACAGTTTGAAGGTCTGGTCTTCTCAAGTCAGGAATGAGGCACACAACACAGATAAAATGAGAATGAACAAGTTTCTTTTTTAAAACAAAACCAAAATGTACTTAGCTCTCCATGGAAAAAGTAAAATTGTTACTGCTTGGTTCTCTAACGGTTTCTTTATTTAGAAAAAAAGAGAGCAAAACAGCTTAATATTGTGAGATACATTCCCTTGAGTTCTGAAGGACTTGTTTCCTTACAACTGATTTCTTTAAGAGGGAAGCTAATATAGGGAAACATAAGTGAGGACTTGTGGAACTGGGCAGATCTAAAGTGAGAGAGTGATTTGCAGGCTGTGAGGAACCCTGTGAGGAATCTAACTGTTTTAGAAATAGAAACCTTCTAGTCCTCATTGCTGTGGTTTTTGTTTGATTGTTTTTTTTAAACTGTGGTATTAAGGGGTTTTTTTTGGCAGTAGAATTTTGTCTTGGCAATAAGGATATAAGGAGCTGGTTTAGGACAGTATGAATAATACAGTATTGGCTAGACAGGCCACCAGAGGCTTTTCAGGAAGTTCTGAGACAGTGACCTGTCTCATAAAGATATTTTACAGACAAGTGGGCTAGAGACTCAGGAATAAACTAAATGTGTGACATGACACACACTGTTAAAAGCAGCTGGGGCGGGGGTGGGAAGAGGAAAGCATTGGATTGGGAAAACAGTGCTGGCAAGGCAGGGAATTTTCCTGATCAGAACTGCCTCATCTAAAGCTATTTGCCCTGTGGGAGACAACGTGCACACTCTCCTGGCAATATTTTCATTACAGTGTTGGAGCGACAGTTTGCTCTTTCTTAATTATTATTAGCTTTTGCACCACAGCTTTTCAAGGGACAGAAGTTTAGATTGGAAAAGATATATGTGTCTTTGGGGGGAGGGTTAACCCCTTTCCCTAGTCCTGCTTTCTGTCCATTTCACCCCCCCGCATGCATCTACCGTATTTTTCGCACCATAACACTCATTTTTTTCCTCCTAGAAAGTAAGGGGGAATGTCTGTGCGTGTTATGGAGCGAATGCCTACGGATGGCGGGGGGATCTGCTGCAGTCGTGAGCAGAGGATCCATGGTTCTCCTTCCTTCCCTCCTCCGTGGCTCACTTTGAAACAGCAAAGCGGGAGAAGAGCCGCTGAGTGGGGAGGAGAGAGGGACAGAGAGCCTGCTTCTTTAAAGGAGCAAAGCGGGAGAGGAGAGGAGCCTTCTCCTCTTATACCCCTCTTCTGCATTATTAACAGCATCCTTCTCCACCCACCCCACGCGTGTTCCTTGTCCCTTGAGTGCTTTTCCTTCCCTCCCCACTTAAAACGTGGTTACAAAGCACGGATCCACATGGATCCTCAGGATTTTTGCACTGGGTCACCCCAAATTCACCATCAGATCACATAGCATGTCCATGGCTACAGCTTGCACCAAAAAAACCACGCACCCACTGTTGCCTGGGGCCGCAGTGGTGCAAAAACGTGGTTACAAAGCATGGATCCACATGGATCCTCAGGATTTTTGCATTGGGCTACCCCAAACTCACTGTCAGATCACATGTCTGTGGCCACAGCATGAACCACAAAAACCATACATCCACTGTTTCGTTTAGAATATTTTTTTTCTTGTTTTCCTCCTCTAAAAACTATGTGCATGTTATGGTCAGGTGCGTGTTATGGTGCGAAAAATATGGAACTTTTACCTTTGGGAAAAACACAGGAGATCTGATTACAGGTCTCCCAATGTCACATGCAGTTTGGCTCTCAAAAGTGAACCACACTGGAGAAATGCTTGTGACATTTTTGAAGCGTTGCAACTGTGAATGCATTAGCACAGGAACTAGGTCCAGCCTCATGGTACTTACACTTGATTTTAAATGGGATACCTTTCCTCCCCAAAGCAGATGTGCTTTAAAAAATACCCACAAAAGTGGGCTAATGAGAACAAATTTGTTACTTGTGCGCACTCCTGAACTATTTTTTTTTTAAAAAAGCTACTGTCATGCATTACAGTTGTTTCAGTTGTCAAGTTGTTTCAGACCTTGCTGTGTCAAGATCACAGTTTTGGAGTATGTCATTGCCTTTTGATCCCAAATCCTCCTTTCTGGTTGGACAATTGAAGTTAAATGCCTTGGTCTGATTTTTGCTTCACAATTTCAGTTCAGTCACATTTATTGGCCACGTGCCGTACTCTTGCTGAGGGTTAGTTAGCATGCAGCAAGCATACCCCATTTTTAATACTGGGCTTTGGCTGCTGAAGGCCCTTTCTATTTTAGTGGCTAATCAATGGCCATGGAGATGGTGGCCTGGTGACATGCAGGCAAGGCCATCTGTTATTGAATTTCTATCGACAGAGGAGGCCGGTCCATTAGGGCAAATGAGACACTGCCTCATCCAACAGTGTCCTCAGCAGTCCCACTTGCTTGCCTTCCTTATTACAAGCAGTCCTCAAAAAGCATATTGTCCTCACCACAAAAAGAATATTGTGCAGTTGGAAAGAGTTAAGGAAAGGCATCCAAAATGATCAAGCGACTCTCCTGTGGGGAAAGGATGCGGCCTTTGTGACTACAGTGTGGTGTAGTGGTCAAGAGTGGTAGACTCGTAATCTGGTGAACTGGGTTCGCGTCTCTGCTCCTCCACATGCAGCTGCTGGGTGACCTTGGGCTAGTCACACTTCTCTGAAGTCTCTCAGCCCCACTCACCTCACAGAGTGTTTGTTGTGGGGGAGGAAGGGAAAGGAGAACGTTAGCCGCTTTGAGACTCCTTAGGGTAGTGATAAAGTGGGATATCAAATCCAAACTCTTCTTTTTCTACTACTTAGTTTAGAGAAAAGGCAGAGAGGAGGAGACATGATAGATGTTCATACATTTATACACGGCGCAGAGGAAGTGGATAGAGAAAAGTTTCCCTCCCTCTCTCACAACGCTAGAACTTGCTGACATCCAATGAGGCCGAATGTTGGAAGGTTCAGGACAGATAAAAGAAAGCACTTTGCACAGTGCATAGTTAACCTTTGCAACTCACTCTCCCCTCAGAGGCAGTGATGGCCGCCAACTCAGATAGCTTTAAAAGAGGACTGAACAGATTCATGGAGGATAGGGCTACCAATGGCTGCTAGGCCATGATGGCTATGCTCTGGTTGGAAACTGTAGGAGGGGAGAGTGCTCTTGTGCTCAGATCCTGCCTGTTGGCATCTGGACGGCTACTGTGAGTATAGGAGGCTGGACTAGAAGGACCATTGGCCTGATCCAGCAGGCTGTTCTTATGCCAGCCCCTCCCCCTCAATCGGCCTTTGTAGAACTCAGCAGGGGAAAATTAGGGGGCAAAACTAGAATTAGTTGGCTCTACTCGCCATTTACTGATGGCCTCTCTGTTTTCTGTCCTACGGATCCCGATGGGCACCAGCCATTGTCGTCAATCAGCAATGGCTTCATGTCCTCATGCCAAGGCAAGCTGCAAGTTCCAATAGAATCCCCATGGAGGGATTCAGTAAATTGGTGATATGGTAGTGGGCTACAGTGTGGTTGATCTTATTCCAAAAGAGCTCCAGTTTCTTTAAGTGGTGTAAAGAAAAACAAATTTCCACTGGCACAGTTCCCCCCGCCCCCATCACAATGTTGGAATAAAAAACAACCCTGCACTCACTGAACATTGTTCCGCAGAATAGCTCTTCCAAAGATAGAATCTTGGTCCCTTTTGGAAAATGGTAACCCGCCCTGACCAGATGGTATGTTCCTAATTAGAAGTATGATCTTGTAGCTTCTGTGTTGTGCTGAATGAATATTAGTGACTCAGTAGCTGCTGATTCAGGGCCAATTCCAGTGTGAAGTTGCTTATTGTATATGCCAGTTTCCCCTTTCCCCCGTTTCAGATGTTAATTGACATATCTGAATGAGCATCCACTGTTCTTTGTGAGTGCCAAATTAATAATGTAGATGTGAGCCCAGGTTAATCTGCAGTTGGACCTGCATGATTTTGTATATCAAATATTCCACCAGCACTGGAATAGTCCAAAATAACCCCAGTCTTCTGGGTATTGGAGTCATTTGTGAATGCACAAATGGTGCCAAAAAGGGTTGTATTCCTGAATTGTAATCTGGGATAGGGATGATCAACGTGTGCTGCTTTCTGGGATAACCGACCCAAGACTGTTTTGGCATTAAGTGGCATATAAATAAATGATAATGATAACTAGAAAGAAAGGGTTTTACACCTGCCAGATCATCTATGATGAGAGACAGGGTATGAATTTTATAAAAATTAATAAAAATATAGACATATCTTCCAGTAAGATGGTAGCTCTGGGTGATCTGTGATCTGTGACACATGAATTGCCCAAAGAATATTTTTATGCTCGTCTTATCTAAATACACTTCCCCAACAAGCCATGTTTCTTATTTCTCTATTTATTTTGTTTATATCTTGCCTTTCCTTCACTGAACCACAGGGCAGTGCACATGTTTCCTCCCTCCCCATTTTATCATCGCAACAATCCTGTAAAGGAGGTTCGGTTGAGAGATAGTGGCTGATCAAAGGTTCATGGCTGGTCGGGGATTTGAACTGCCAGTTCCCCACATCGTAGCCCAAGATACTAACCACTACACCACACTTACTTTGATTTTGGGAAGGAGACATGGAAAGTTGCAAGGGTAGGGCTGCCAGATCCAAACTTGGAGAAATGAAACGTTTTCTTTCCCTTGGGAAACGTGCTGCTGAGAAAGGAGGGATTGTGGAACCTACTGACTATCCTTGGCAGTAAATTATAATACGATGGCACATAGGAAGCAGTGAGAAGCTCTAGGAACATTCCCCACAACTGAGAGCAGCAGCAGCTTGTGAATTGCTTCCTTCCTGTTCGATGTCCTTGCCCTTCTCACATGCCTCAGAGCATCTGTTGTGCTTCGTTTCCTAAAGTTTCCCATGCACAGTACTTCCTCCAATCTGCCACTCATGAGGCATCCACTGCCAAGAGATTCATCATTACAAATGCAAGGTCCTGGAAGTTGGCCGAGTGCGGGTGGGGTCAAACTGTACTACAGTAAAGTTGCCTGTGGGAGAAGAAAGGGGGCGGGGAGGAGAAAGAGAGTTCACTTGCAGGTTCTGGTTGGAAACCATGGAGTTTCTTTTACATATTTGAAATATTTAGGTATGACATCCACAGGACTCTCAGACTTTTTTTTTTTTAAAAAAAATATATAATTCCAAATAGGAATATGGCTCCCAAGAAGACTACAGAGCTGCTTCATCTGCTTCGACAAGCAATGAGAAACTCTAAATATGTTCCAGAACCGATCCAAGCCTACATTGTACCCTCCGGAGATGCACACCAGGTATGGGATTCAGCAGAATTGTCTTCTCTCGGTAGAATTCTTCCCTCCCCCGTGCTCCAAGAGCTTTAGCCAAGAGCTAAAGATTAAGCTTCTTTAGCCAAGCGTGTTTAATATGTAGAGGTATCCCTATTCTATGCCACCATATCCTAAACCTATATCAAGGTGATGCACACAGTTCCAGTGTTCTTTTCTCACAGTGGGAATGTTTATGGTAGCCCACAAATAGGCCGGGAACACAGTAAGATTCCTGTCCCCCAGCAGCTACTATCATCCATTTATTAATCACCTTCTGAACAGCCATCTCAAGGCAATTTGCATATGAGATTATTAAACACAAAATCAGCAAATACATTTAAAACAAGACTGAAACCCTAGGAAAGCAGACACTCATGGTTAAGACCCATTTCTTTGACTGGGAACAAAAAATATCTTCTGTTGTTTCCGGAAGGTGCAGGTAGTGGGGCAAAAGGGGGGCAGCCACGTGGAAAGCCCTGCTCCAGGATTAATGGCTACTCCATTGTCCACGTTTTATGCTGTATGCAGAGAACAGTGCCTCCAGCTGCCAGTGCGCAGTGTTCTTCATCTAATAAAGCAAGCAAGCCAAACACGCACACAGCTATTCTGCTCTCAAGTTGCTGCAGGCAAGGGTTTTTTATTTTTATTTTTTTGCAGCTGCTACAGGTGCTTCTTTTCCTGCCTGAGCCTGCTTCTCTGTAGCTCTGGTTACACTTGTGAGACTTTTAATATGTTCCTGTGGATCTTGGAATATGACCTGCAAGATTCTTTATTTCTTTGTGTCGCTTTAGGGAATGCAGTAATGCAAAGACCTCACATTATGCTTTTCCTGCTGGGCAAGTTTATCAGGTTTGTTCTGTTCTGTTCAGAGAGCTGAATGGACAGGAAGAAACCCACCCCTCCTTATTTTGTATCCACTTGATTTGCTGCATACCATGACTTCAGCAAAACCATGTCCCCCCATTTACATGGTTTAAAGCCTTGATTCTCAGGACACAAGTACATGCGTGCTGAAGTAGACAGAGTGACCAAGGAGTCCTGGGTTCAAAACCCCACTTGGTCACGAAACTCACTCGAAAGTTCTACATTGGCTCCCAGTACGTTTACGAGCACAATTCAGAGTGTTGGTGCTGACCTTTAAAGTCCTAATTGGCCTTGGTCCAGTATACCTGAAGGAGCGTCTCCACCCCCATCGTTTTACCTGGACACTGAGATCCAGCTCTGAAGGCCTTCTGGCGGTTCCCTCACTGCGAGAAGCCAAGTTACAGGGAACCAGGCATAGGGCCTTCTTGGTAGTGGCACCCGCCCTGTGGAATGCCCTCCCACCAGATGTCAAAGAGAAGAACAGCTACCAGACTGAAGGCAGCCCTGTTTAGGGAAGCTTTTAATGTTTAACAAACCACTGTATTTTAATACTTTGTTGGAAGCTGCCCAGAGTGGCTGGGGAAACCCAGCCAGATGGGTGGGGTATAAATAACAAATTATTATTATTATTATATTCACTGGGAAATCTCGCAATCTATTAGTCTACCCTACCTCGCAGAGTTGTTGGGAGGATAAAAGGGTGGGACTGGCAATGCATGGCTCCCTAAAACTTCTTAAAGGAAAGGTGGGATAAAAACGTAATAATGAATTAAGGGGTGGGGGGAGAAGAAGAATGAACTGCCTGACTGATTTTCTACCAGTGTTCCTCAGCAAGGCTTCACGTGGGGATGGGGGTGGTGGTAGGGCTACCTACCATTTCACAGCATCAAAGTTATCTTACGCAAAGTAAGCATATATACTTAATTTCATAAATTATTTGTGGGGCTGGATGGAAGCTGATGGTGGTTAGCCGTACTAGCCTCGGTTGAAGGGTACCTGGCTAGGTTGAAGCATGATTAGCGTTGATAAAAATATCACTGTAAATCAGGATTCAGGCCAACAAGAAAATGGAAAATAGGAAGAGTAGGAAGGATGCATTCCTTAGGCTGCCTCAGTTTGCAAACCACTGTTTGCATGGAGCCAGTTTTGTGACTGCACTGGTCTGTGAACATCAGAGCTGAAAAGCTACCTTTCTCTTAGTTTTAGAAAAAGTAGATTCTGCCTTAGCAAATTAAGTTCTGAATTGCATGGGATACATGCCGGCAGTGGAGACTTCTAGGCTTCTTTGCTTTGAGCTTATAATCAAGGCCAGAGCAGCTTGTTGTCAGTGGTTGAAATTCTTAACGAGGAGATTTTAGGCAGACACCCATTTTTGAGTACTTCTCATAAAATCCAGTTAGAGGATGCCAGTAAAATAAAGCAAAGGTTACAGATTTGAGGCATATCGTCTATTACAGCTTCCAGGATCAGAAGATATTGGGGGCGTTTCTTCCGCTTGTGTTGCCACATCAAAGGCCTGACTTGTTTGGCTGGACAGTGGTGTGGTCAAGAATGAAATAAACATGAGCGCTGGGAGAAATGTCGGAGGAAAAAGTACTGCAGATCTGAAGTAAACAAATGAAGAATAAACATGGAGGTTTAAATGTCTCAGCGGAATAATTATATGAAGGCAGCCTTCCCCAGCCTGGTGCCCACCAGATGTCTGGGATTCTCACCAGCTGTGCAGAGGAAGAGCTTGTTCAGATTTTTCAGTATTTCATTGCATCTGGAAGAGCACCTGATAGCTAATTCAGGGAGCTTGTTCTGCTGCTCTTGGTGCCTCTCTCTGCTGTTGTGCATCATTAGGCTCACTTTCCCCTTTTTCTTTTCACTATTCATTTCTAGAGTGAGTACAGTGCGCCTTGTGATTGCCGAAGACAGTTCATCTGCGGGTTTGATGGCTCAGCAGGTATGTTCCCAGAACTGTGCTTGACCCCGTCACATTTGACAGTTCTTCAGCTTTGAATGCCAAGCTCCTCCTCTGAGGTTCACGGGCCAGAACATGAATCTCTCCAACTTCCTCTAAAGCTAAAGTGCTGTATGGTTGTTGCTGTTATTTTACATCCAGTCTGGATATGGCTCTTTAATAATCTCCGTGTAATTTGCAAAATGTCTTGATACATCCACCCACCCACCGCTTAAGACAGTCTCTAAGTGGTTTACAAAATGCATTCGAGATGTATAGATAACCCAACATTGAAACTGCAAAACTACAATATAATACAATGCAATAAAACAATAGCATTCCTAAAAACATCAACATAGCAGCTCATTTTGAAACACCATTAGAGACAGCTCCATTCTCTCTTCTTCCTTCCTCTTGCCAAAGCACATCCTGACTCACGATATACAACACACATATACAACACTTGCGGGGTGAATCGGGAGCAGTGAGAGGTGTGGCATAGGGATATGGGGTGTGGTCTGAGGAGGGTTCCCAGAGCAAGACAGGGACACAGGCTTTATGTTCTCTACCCCTGGTGTGTAGGATTGCAGCCTTGATCATAGTGGCATTTGTCGTATAAATTAAAAATGAAATGGGGAAGGTGATGTCAGCGTCTGTTTCCTGACGCTTTTATATACTAGAGAGGAGTAGGGACTGGTCCAAACCTGACTGCTGTTGTGTGTAACTTTTTGAGGGGAAGAGGTCAGTCCCTACCATGCAGCAGAAACCGTTCTCTCCACCACATTTAAGGCAGACTTGGTATATATTCCATATTACCTACTCTTGACAGATAAGTCTATAGCAGTGTGGCTGCTGAACTTTGGTATATGCGTAGGGGTGGGGTGGAGAGAGTTGGCTCAGCTCACTTCTGGAAAAACTGTAGTGCTTTGCAGTTTGCGTGCTGGCCTGAAAGAAAAACACGAAGGAAAAGTTTGACTTGTCCCTTCCCCTTTCAGCATCCACACCAGCTGGAATGGTGACGTAATACCCGTGTAGTAATGAGCTTTTGCCGACCCCCAGATGACCCTTCAATAAAGTGAAAAATCCTGTTAACTGTTTCATACAGTGATCGCAGCTTGCCTTTCTTTTTCCCTCTGCGAAGCCAGTGGAAACAGATTTGCTTGTAGTTTGGCAGATTGGGGGATTAAGCGGTAAACAGTGTTGGTTAGCCAAGTTCAATCTTCTTAAAAAACATTTTTTTTTCCTGCATCTGAAATCGCTGGGCATTGAAATTCGGCTAATGGGCGGGAAAAGCCTTGTTTATCTTTCATAGGGACAGTGTGTTCTGTTTAGCAGCATGTCCTGTGGTAACACGCATTAAACTGCAGCTATGAGATCTAGGTTTCATTGCAAGCATTGTCAAGCCAGCCATTCTGTGGGGTTTTGTTTACCCCTTACTGTAAAACAGCCAAGTCCAGGTGTCAGCAGCCTAACTATGGTTTATGTCCCAGGAAGTGAGTGTTTTAGCTCAGGCCTTCTCAAGGTAAACTCTACTGTTCTGGCCTGAATTTCAGATGCTTCGGAACAAACTTAATTCAAGTTCGATCGTTTTATTTCCCTTCATTTATTCAACTGGCACCACTGGCCATGTCTGTCTGTGTGTGTGTGTGTGTGTGTGTGTGTGTGTGTAATATATGACCACCTCTCCCTTCTTCACTCTTTCACAGGAACCGCCATAATAACAGCACAAGATGCTGCCATGTGGACCGACGGACGCTACTTTCTCCAAGCTGCTGAGCAAATGGATACCAACTGGACACTCATGATGATGGGTGTGTGAGAGCCCAAACTAGTGCTTTGCTTTAGGTCTCCTCCACGGTTCCTTTAGTTGTGCTTCTTAACCCATTAACGCTCCCTTGTTCCTGTTGTTACATGGAGAAAAGAACGTTTTCTTGAACATGTTACAGGAGCAGGGCCTCTTGCTTTCCCTTCCTAGTATATCTGCCCAAAGTCAGCGGTTATTTGCAGGCAGAAAGCAAGCAAATCCTAGTTGTTAGGCTGTACCCTTCACCAAGTATGAGTGTTCTCTGGAAAATACAATAGCATTTCTTGTGTGAATGGTATAAAAGTGAGTTGCAGCTTCCTGTACCAACCCTATGATAAGCATATAATGGAGTTTGCTTGAATGCAGCCTGAGTGATTGACAGCTGCTGAGCAAAGGCGATAAAGGTGATGTGACCTTGCCCCATAGTGACCTCTTCATTTTGTGTTAGGTCTGATTACTTCCAGGCTCACTTGAAGGTGCAGCTGAGGGCCTGTGAATTGTGCACCCAGCTTTCCAAATGCCACAGTAAAGAGCCATACTGTGCTTGCAGAAAGTCTGCATTTAATATCTGGACATGTAACTCAAAATTAAGAAAACTTTTGTAAATTTTTTTTTGCATAATTCTAGCTATGGAAATTGTACTGAATTGCTGTTATTTATATGGGCGTGTAGGGGGAAGATTGAGGAACAGAAACTGTGTAAGAGAGGCTTGACATTAAAATATTGCAACGTTCAGGGTACCCTGAACCACAGAGATGGTTTCAGCTTCCCAAATGGAGGCACTAAGACAAGGCATCAGAATTTCTGACTAGTCCAGCATTTCTCATTCTCTTCTCTTCTCTCCCCTTCACCATTGGGCTTCCTGAACACACCAGTTCCTCCTTTATTGCTGAACTTGCTGCCAGTACTTGCAACTTGTTGTTCCTCGGCCCATCCCTTGGTTGCTTAGCAAATGCAGTGCTTTCTGACCTTAGTGAGAACAAAGGCTGCTGAGGGAAGGGAGATAGGAGAAGGAAAGAGCTCGCATGGGCACCACTTCTCTTTTCAGTGGTACTCAAATCAGTGGAGGCAGGCAGGGAAAGGAAGGGTGCTCTGTTTGGCTACCTCCCAGGTGCTTTGCTCTTGGGGCTAGCAGTAGCTATAGCTGAAAGGAACCATGCTTCAGTGTGAGGAGCGCATGGTTTGCTTGCAGAAGGCTTCAGGTTCAAGGGTATCGGTTGGCAGAAATGGAAAAGTTCTGACATCTCCTAGTTGGAGTAGGCAACACTGGTCCATCTAGCCCAGGGTTCTGACTCAATTGTTCTCTGAAGCTGATTGCTCATATCATTTCCCAAGGCAAATAGTAGGGAACAAACGTGAGTTATTAAAGGGGCAACATTCTGGGCCACACTGCACTGTATCACAGTGCTCCAAGTTCCAAGTCATTAATTTTGCTGGGTATCTGCAGTGTTTTTAGGTGTATGGAAAGGAATCCATAAATGGGGTTTCTTTTGGGAGCAGAGGGCTTCTGTGATAAAGGTTGGTAAGGGGTCATGGTTTTGGAGTATCTGTTCCTAGGGATTTACACATGGTTTGTTCCCCCAAAATACTATTGGGTATTCCAGGCGTGGGGAAGTGGACCTGACCTGTGTACTGGGTCCTTATCTCCCTCGCAGGGCAAGTTTGACAGGGGAGAGGGCACTTAGCCACCTGTCGGTAACCTGTGTTGCAATTATGTGCGCAGCACTTTGAAGTCCTGGCAATTAGTCGACCGCTGCAACTTCAAAGAGTCTTGCACAGCTCTGTGCAATCACAGCTCATCAGCCGATTGGCAAGGCTTTCAAAAAGCCACGGGTGGGGCTCTATTGCCGTGTTTCCCAACTGGGTGCCATATGGCTCCCTGGGGGGTCCAGGATATTCCAAGGGGGCCACAGGTGAAAATCACGTAAATGTGGAGCCGCAGAATGAGGTTATGGGGCCACAGAGGGTAGTGAGAAGTGAAGAAAAGAAATTGTTTTTTAGCCTTTAGCTGCCCAAGAAGGGTGTGGCTTGGCCAAAATTGCATTGCGGCCAAATAGGGAGGCCTGGTGGGCTGGAAGTTCCCTACCGCTGGTGCTAATTCCATCTCTTGCACTGCAGTCTTACTTGGGGTTTGGGTATGCATTTCTGCACTTAAATTTGGTTATAAACCGCTGCGTTGAGGTTTACTGCTCCCTGTCTTGTGCTCAAGGTCTCCATGCTTGTGTTCCTTTTCTTTAAACTTTGCAATCTCTCTTGAATTCTTTCTTGCCTTCAGGTCTGAAGAACACTCCTGCGCAGGAGGACTGGCTTGTGAGTGTTCTCCCCGAGGGTTCCAAAGTTGGAGTAGATCCTTTCATCATTCCAGCAGGTTAGTTTGCCCTTAAATGCCTTCTGATTTGTGTAAATGGTTAGATTCTCCTGACCTGTGCTGCTTCACCTCACAGCATCAAGGGGTTGGCTCTAACCAGGGTAGTTGAACTTGTCTTTAAACCCTTTCTCTGCAACAAGGTAGTTGGGGGTTGGGAGGCTGATGTTTTTCCAAGAAAGCAGTGAGATATCCTGATTATTCAAGAAGGAGGTGGATTGGTTGCCCTATTCAGTTTCAGCTGCAAATGAATCTAGCAAACTTTTCAGTTGGGAATTTGAAGAAGGTCACAGGAATCTGTTCCCCCCAAATCTGGTTAATGGCAATATTTTTACTACTTTCCCTCTACAATCCCACAGTGGTTTGTAAGCTAACCATTCATCTCCAGTTTCTTCTTCAAAACCATAAGGTGTAAAAACTTTTGTTTCTTTAAAAATGGAGAGCGATAAATTGTCAGAAATGTGATACGTTTCTGGTCCAAAGTTTTCTGATGAAAGTCTAGGGTTTAGTTGACCCTAACAGGAGAAGTTCTCATTCCCTAATTCTCGTTGTAATGTACAGAACATACACACACAATTTTGTTCAGTTTTTTTTATTGATTTTATATTTCATGAATGCAAATGGTGAGGTTCTTAATAAAATACTTTTTAAGAAATGCAGTGGAAAAACGATTTTGTTACCAACCCATGTGTTTAGATGTGTACTGTATCCCCCACCTTTCTGCTTACACAATGTCGCTTCACAGGGAAAGCTAGCAGGCTGGGGATCTCAACAGCAGCATCCTTCTTACGTCGCTCTTTCTGTCATCCTCAGATCAATGGAAGAGGATGTCCAAAGTTCTGAATAGTGCCGGCCATACTCTTGTGCCTGTCAAGGACAACCTAATTGATGTCATATGGACAGATCGACCACCACGGCCTTGCAAACCCTTGATGACCCTAGGCCTGAACTACACAGGTTAGCGGGATCCTAGTCACGTCCGTAAGAATGTTGTTGATAATGAAATGACAATCTCGACAGGCTCCCCGTTGAATTGCATATCGGGCAGAGGTACTGTGTATGTGGAAAGGATGAGGAAAGTCCGGCCGCAACCATCATTTAATATCCCTAAAAGCATCTGAGATGAATTGGGCATTGGACATAAATGGCACCTGTGTGTAGATAAAAGAACTGCTTTGTTACATTAACCCTAGAGAATTTGGCCGGATTAAGTTCTCGCTTTCATTGCATGATGCAGGGATCAGCTGGAAGGACAAGATCACAGCCCTGCGGGGGAAAATGGCTGAGAGGAAGGCTCTGTGGTTTGTGGTGACCGCCTTGGATGAAGTGGCTTGTGAGTACAAGTATCCTGTTTCCTTTAGCATTGTTCAATTCCATGTTCATTATCTACTCAGAAATCTCTACGCAGCTGGAAATGAAAAACCCTGCAGCATCCCCAGGGGTCAGTAGGACTGTGGGCCAGTTTGGACAATAGAAGTCTGTCCCGGTGTCATCTTTGGAACGTAGAGATTTCAGTTGCTGGCTGCTCACTGGTCAATGGCAAGGAACCTTGTGCCATTTCCAGGAAGGCTGCTGCTGGGATCAATATTACTAATTACCGCGAATGGTTGGAAAAACCACCTTGTGCTGCACTTGTGGGTAGCTGCTGCCTGCTTACAGTTTGCTACCACTTAGTTCCCAAATACCCACCAAGCACAGCTGAGGAGCAGCCAGGAGCACAGTAAAGTGCAAAACAGGAGGTGGCATGTTTGCCTATTGGGAGGCAATGGGGCCTGAAGGATAACGCGTTGGATTTGATCTGGGGAAACTGCTTGGTAGGCTGTGGGCTTGTCTAGTGGCCTGCTTTCTGCAGGGCTTTGCTGCGCGAGTGAGTTCACAGTGGCAAACATGCTTGCACACCCTCACCAAGCAGAGTTGAACTCCCTGCCCATCATCAGAATGACTGCCGGGGCTGGTGGTGTAGCAAAATGCTTGTGATCTCCTCTCTGGGAGCCTGGCTTGGCTTAGAGTGATATGTGAGACCGGTCTCAGTCTCTAGAGACAGATGTGAGTAATTCCTGGATTTTACATTTTCAATAATGAGTGAGCCGCTGAACCATTGGATGTTCTTTTGTTTTTGTTTATAATCCCAGGTGTAACCCGCAACCTGCACAGCACCTTGATTATCTCTTCCTGCACTTGGTCACAAGACTGAAACCAATGCAGACTTTATGGTTTTAATACCAGCCATGTTCCCTCTCCACCATCCCACTCCTCCTGCTTTGCTTCCCTCATCCTCCAGCCTGATAAAGCGATCTGGAGACCTTGAAAGTTTGCTCACTATTTTGTGGGTGGTCCTAATAAATACAGGGTCCCGCTGTGGATTTTCTACTTTTTCCTTATGGTCCAACTTGGCTTCCTTTGTACTTTGTCTTATTTTCTTGTTACCAAAAGATCTTCCTTGTGCGTTGTCTGGACTTCTAATGCCATCTTGTGGCAAAAGCCCCTTATTGTTCATTTAAGTGGTTGTGTTGCATTTCACTATGGATGGTGCTTCCCCACTGCTTTCTTAAAAAAATGAAAGTACAGTGGTACCTTGGGTTACATACGTTTCAGGTTACATATGCTTCAGGTTACAGACTCCGCTAACCCAGAAATAGTACCTCGGGTTAAGAACTTTGCTTCAGGATGAGAACAGAAATCGCACGGCGGCAGCAGGAGGCCCCATTAGCTAAAGTGGTGCTTCAGGTTAAGAACAGTTTCAGGTTAAGAACGGACCTCCGGAACGAATTAAGTACTTAACCCGAGGTTAAGAACAGTTTCAGGTTAAGAACGGAGCTCCGGAACGAATTAAGTACTTAACCCGAGGTACCACTGTAATGTTGAATTTTAACCAGGTTTGTGACACCGTCTTCTCCGTCCTTATTTTTTTAGGGCTCTTTAATCTCAGAGGCTCAGATGTTGAGTACAACCCGGTATTTTTTGCTTACGCCATCATAGGAGCCAATACAATCAGGTAATGGAAGCGGAGGCTTTCTCATTTATTTTGCTCACATTTACTCTGATGATCAACATGGGTATATATTTTCCTTCAAGAAACTGATTGGCTGAGTGGGCAGGGACAGCAGGCCTTTAAAAGCAATAGGCTGCAGCCTGTGAAGGGGGAGGAATGGCAGTGGTGCTCGCCTAGGGGTGGAACTGCACTCACTGGGAAAGAAATAGGCAGCAGTGAAGTCTGGGGAACTTTGAGTAAGCAGCAGCCCCACAAGGCAGCTGTACCTGCAGAGACATTACTGTCCATCTAGATCTCCCCTGACCTCGGTGCCACCTCACTCTGCTCCTTCCTATGGTAGCACTACCATATGTTTTTCACCTATAAGAAAGTCTGTGCCTAGATTACCAGTACCCTGCTACTGAGACCTGGAGAGCCAGCCAGCGTGGTGTAGTGGTTAGAGTGTTGGACTAAGGCCTGGGAGACCGGGGTTCAAATCCCCACTTGGCCATGAAGGGTGACCTTGGGCCAGTCACTCAGGATTGTTGTGGGGATTGAATGAGGAGGCGGAGAACCATGTACGGCACCTTGATCTCTTTGGCAAAAAGGTGAGATGCAAATGCAATAAACAAAACGTCGTTCAGTCATTCACTCTTTATTTGATTGTGTGTCCCGCAAGGCTCAGGCTGCTTTTCTCTCTCTCTCCAATATATTCCTCTAGGTTGTTCATTGACGGCGATCGCATGTCCGATCCAGGCGTGAGAGAGCATCTGTTGCTGGACTCTGCTCAGGACCCTGAGTTCAGCATCCAAGTTCTGCCGTACGACTCCATCCTGACCGTTCTGAAGTCCATCTGTGACACCCTTTCTCCCCACGAGAAAGTTTGGCTCAGTGACAAAGCCAGCTATGCCCTGACCCAGGCCATCCCCAAGGTCCGTAGGCTTTGGCAAGGCAGCAAATTCCTCTCACCCCCCCCCAGCTCAGGTCTGCCGCTATGCACTTCCACTTGGGGCGGATGCTTCCAAGCTTCCTTCCGTGTGGGGCTGTTGCAGGCCTCTTGTCCTCTGCTGCAAAGTGGCTTTGAAACCCAAGCCAAGCTCTCCATGGGTTGCTTACAACCCCTGTGGCAGGAGGAAATGACTAACTCATTAAAAGAATTTATCTGAAAGAGTGTCAGATTAGAATAAGGCAGGGATTTGGGGGAAAAAAAATTGGCCCTGCAGCAAAAAAAACTACTTTTGTGGATTGGGCTGGAAAACATTCTAGTAGAGAGGAATAAAGAGGTTTTGTTCTCATCGTTTTGTTGGGGGACGACAACACAGCAGCCTCTTCCGGCTTTCTGTGGGGAGGCTGTGACAAGACGCATCGTGAGACTTACTGTTATCCCATGTGAGGCATTTTTCTTATTCACCTGTATGTAGAACATGAATATAGAAACCTCCATTAGCTAGAGCAGTGGTAGCTCTTGTGGTGCCTTCAGATGGCGTTGGACTCCAACTCCCCTCATCCCTGGCCATTGGCCATGGTGGTGGGGGCTCATGGGAGTTGGAGTCCAACCACACGTAGAAGGCACTCCACTGGCTACCCTGGGCTGCAGGAGCATGCCTTGTGTTTGAAATGGGCTCTCCTTTTTCTTTTTCTTTTTGCTTCCTGTGCTGTGTTACATGCCTAACACAGAGTGCAAGAAGATTCTAAGGTACTTTTAGTTCAGTGTCACATGTATATGGCAGTGTTTTGGCACAGTCCGCAATGTTCTTTGAGACCAGACTTCGCTCTGCTTCCTGCTCAGCTCATAAAGTGGCTTGCACAGAGCTGGAGACTTTTCAGAGAGAACTATATGCAGAGGTGTGTCTGCTTCATGGAATCATAGAATTGTAGAGGGACCTCACAGATCATCTAGTCCAGCCCTCTGCAATGCAGGAATCCTATCTAAATACGTAGATCCATGGAATTGTAGCCCTCAGATGGAACATCTCCTGAAGGGCTTAGAACTGTCCGAGCAGAATCGAGGGGAAATGACTGGAAAAGGTGCAGGAAAGGGCATGCAAAATGATCTGGTGGTCCCTTGTAAGGAAAGGCTACACTTTGCCTTTCATGCAGACAGAAGATGATAAAGGATGCTCTTGGCTTGCATGCATCCTTTCTGTCTGGTCCCTGAGGCTTGGAAGGACACGAAGATGTAGCTAGCCCACTTCAGCTTAGTCTTAGTAGCCAGACAACTCCAGGGCCAGCAGGCAGTTTGGGCTCCTTGCCAAATTGTATCTTTTCTTTTTTCTTTATGGTCTTAGGCTCACCGCTACCTCACCCCCTACACTCCCATATGCATTGCAAAAGCTGTGAAGAATGCAGCGGAGTCAGAAGGCATGAGGAGAGCTCACGTAAGTGATCTGCCCAGTTTAGTGGCTCTTTTCTGTTTCAGAGCTGCAAATTATTAATTATACTGAACTCTGCAATAGTTTTTGCAGAGTGAAGTGCAGAAGTTTCTGCTTGGAAGTAGAAATGTCATCTTTTTGCTACTGCCTACTCATATAATATAATATAATATAATATAATATAATATAATAGGACGCAGGTTAAACCACAGAGCCTAGGACTTGCCGATCAGAAGGTCGGCGGTTCGAATCCCTGCAACGGGGTGAGCTCCCGTTGCTCGGTCCCTGCTCCTGCCAACCTAGCAGTTCGAAAGCACGTCATGTGCAAGTAGATAAATAGGTACCGCTCTGGCGGGAAGGTGAACGGTGTTTCCGTGCGCTGCTCTGGTTCGCCTGAAGCGGCTTAGTCATGCTGGCCACATGACCCGGAAGCTATACGCCGGCTCCCTCGGCCAATAAAGCAAGATGAGCACTGCAACTCCAGAGTTGTCCGCGACTGGACCTAATGGTCAGGGGTCCCTTTACCTTTTACTAATATATTTCTTCCATTAAAATGTTTGGGGCCAATTTTTCAGTGGGTTATTCCATACAGGTGTGTTTCATTAATCTGTTTACCTTGTTTTTTCTTCTCCTTTTATTAACAGATTAAGGATGCTGTGGCCTTGTGTGAGTTATTTAACTGGCTGGAGAAGGAGGTATAGTTTTAAAGATTTTTACTGAGAGAAGACTGTTACTGTATACTAGAAGATTGCATGAATATAAGCTTTAGTATTGCTCATGGTAACTACTGATTACTATTGCCTAGAGGGACGGAGAAAGCCACTGAGACTTTTAGGGGCTGTGAGGGCTGTTCATATTTCCACCTTGAGAGGAAATGATGACTTTTGGAGACTGTTTTTGCTTGCCTTGTGTGATCAAAAGAGGAATGGTGAACGATTGGCTTGCATACAGGAGAAAAATCATGGCAGAGATTGCCATAGTGGAATGTTACTGGAAAGCACCAAATTCTCTTCTGTTTTTTTATATGCTATATTAGTTTTCTCACAATGGCCATGTTCAGATATCACACTAAACTATGGTGCTTAGCACTACGTAAATGGGCCTGTGAGCCTTGGATTCAAACACTTCCACCTCACTTTGCTTTTCCAGTGCAGCCACATGGAGGGGATCAGAAGCTTTTGCTGCTGTTTGCCACCAATCACAGCTTAGTGGAATGTCCAAACTCAAACAAACTGTGTCTATTCTTAACCATGGTTTATTGAAAGAAGTCAACTTTGGAAATCAAACTATAAAGCTGGTTTCAATATAGCATAGTTAAGATTAGCCACAGTTTTAAGTTTTCCAAGGTAACACTAACATTCAATAGCTGTAGTCTACTGAGGAGAAAGTACCGTTGGTTTAGCCACTGCCAATGTCGTTGAGCCCTGATATTGATGCCCAAGGATAGCATTGAGGGATGGGGAGTCAACAGTGGCCTCTAAGGGAAAAGAGAGGGTGACTGGGCAAGATTCCATGAAGACCACAACATGCTGTGTTTCCATTGTTGTTTACCAGGCTGCAATCTTTTCTATTAGGTTCCCAAAGGGAATATTACTGAAATAACAGCAGCAGACAAAGCAGAGGAGTTCCGTAGGTAAGAAGAAAGACAGATGTGGGCAGTCTCTGGGTCATTATAGTCACTGAAGTTTTATATAGACTTTGGGGAAAACAGGGTCCATTTGTTTTATTGGGAGGCTGCGGAAAGAAGGGGTCCGACTTCCAAGGCAGGCAGTTTAAAGAAGAGCAAACCTTTAGGAGCATAAGAGCATCGGAAGAGCCTGCTGGCTCAACCTCACAGTGACTAGCTAGATAACTTTGAGGAAAGCCACAAGCAGGACCTGAGCATAAGACACTCTCTTCTCCCTCAAGTTTCAGCACCTGGCATTCACAGGTGTGGCTGACTCCTGGAGGGAGAGCATAGCCATCATGGCTAGGAGCCATGGATAGACTGATCCTTCATGAATTTGCCTAACCTTCTTGTAAAGCCATCCAAGATGGTGGATGCTACTGCCTCCTGTGGGAGGGAGTTTAACTATGTGCTGCATGAAGAAGTACAGTGGTATCTTGGGTTACATATGCTTCAGGTTACAGACTCTGCTAACCCAGAAACAGTACCTTGGGTTAAGAACTTTGCTTCAGGATGAGAACAGAAATCGTGTGACAGCAGCGCAGCAGCAGCAGGAGGCCCCATTAGCTAAAGTAGTGCTTCAGGTTAAGAACAGTTTCAGGTTAAGAACGGACCTCCGGAACGAATTAAGTTCTTAACCCGAGGTACCACTGTACTTTCATTTGCCTGTCCTGAATCTTCCAACATTTGGCTTGATTGGATGTCCACAAATTGTTTCGAGAGAGGGTCCATGTCCTGCATAATTTCATGATCAAACTGGTGCCTTGTCTTCTCCTTGTTTGTCTTGCCTGGTTTCATACCTCTGTCTTAAACAAGCTCAGAACAAGATCATGCAGTTCTTGGCCTTCAGGCTTATTCATCACATAGAATACTGTGCATGTCATTTTGGGCAAACAAAGTGAACCCTGTATCTAAGACCAGATGGGTAAACTTGGCTAGGGAGTCTGCTGTGCGTGATGTGGGGAAAGAAGAAGAAGAAGAGGAGTTTGGATTTGATATCCCGCTTTATCACTACCCTAAGGAGTCTCAAAGCGGCTAACATTCTCCTTTCCCTTCCTCCCCCACTCTGTGAGGTGACTCAGTATATTTCAGTACTCCAGCTGATACTTTTTTGGATGAACTAAGCAGAGGGTATAGAGCAAGCTCTGGTTTGAGATCATCACTAGTCCAGTTCCCAACCTTATTTTTTGGGTGGTAAAATAGGACCCTTCTTTATAACACATCATCACACCATTGGTCCACCTAGCGCAATATTGTCTATACAGAACTGCAGGGCGTCTTCAAGTTTTTAGAGGGCATTCCCAACCTTACCTGCAGATGCTGGGATTGAACCTGGGATCTCCTGCATGAAGAGCATATGCTCTACCACTGTTCTACAGCCCTTCCCCATACTTTAGGTTTGATGTTCATTGTCTTGCTAGAACAACTTGAGCAAGTTTTGGCCCAAATGGTTAATCGAGACAAATTGCAGGAAGACTCACCAGGCTGATCATGAATGATGAAATCTCAATGAAGGGCAATGGCAGAAGATGAAAACCTTTGCTCTCATCCTTTGAGAGGCAGGATGTCTCCTTTCTGTAGAAGTTCTAAATGACCTTTGCTCATGAAATTTCTCTTTTTTCCAGCCAGCAAGAGAACTTTGTCGACTTGAGCTTTGCTACAATTTCAAGTACAGGCCCAAATGGTGCTATAATTCACTACAAGTAAGTAAGAGCAACAGAGTCCTTGCACTGGACACTTCACTACATAGTTGGAAGAACCTAGAGCACCACCATGCTAGTGTATCGCTGCTTAGTCTACATTAGGAAATGTTCGCTACTGTTAACCTTCAAGTTGGCTTCTATGACCAAATCTTTTCTCCAGGATCCCATTGCACTTGGTGTGGTCCCCATGCTATCTGAGGCTTAACGGAACTTCAGGGAATCACGTCAGTTGATGTTATTTTCCGTCTAGTGATATAAAGAGAGTTTGTGGTTGAAGCAGCAGAACAATGTATCTTGTTCCATAACCATCTACTGTGGATGTCCAAATTGTTTTCAGGCGGTTGGCTTCATGAAGATCGGTTGTCCCTGTTTGGCTAGCTTTCTGTTTTTTTCAAAGTTACTAATGAGAGAGTTTGAGGGGTGGAGGGCTGAGGTTATTTGCTGCTGCAGAATGCAGAGACTAGAGGATTTTCGTTTGTCCTTCTTTGCAAGTTTCTCAGGGATTGCATGATGTTGAGGCTGGAAGCGGTTTTTTAAAAAAAGAAAAGATCTTGACATCCACTGATTCATTGAAAAATTTAACCTTGTCCCAAAGTGCAGCTTTCAGTGCAAAAACTGATAACTCTGCAGAATTTAGCACAACCTTAGTTGAAATAATGGTTGAATGAAGTGCAAATACCTTACTTTATCTATATAAAAAAATTGAAGTGTTGGAATATTTCTTAGTGGCTCATAGACCTGTCTCCTATCAGCTGTAGAATTTTCAATAGAGAATCATGTGATCAACAAGTAGGTGTAGATAACAAGCTCTTCCAGCCTTTTGATCGTCATTGTGAATGTGCTTCCACCACCAAATATTTTGATGCTATACAGCCTCCTATATAATTTAGAATAGTAAACATGCTGTACAATGCTGAAGATGCCCTCAGACACATGATGCTGACCTAAATGGGCAGTTGATTTGATCCAACAATCCATGAAAATTTACTAAGGACAAATACACTCGGCCCAGAATTCAAAATTTAATTGTATAATTGAAGGAAGAACTTGTAATTCAGTCTGTTTTCACTCGCTGGTTTCAATGAAAAGGTGAGACAAATCATTTTTCTTTTCTTGAATAGGCCTACACCTGAGACAAATAGGACTTTATCCATGAATGAAATTTACCTCCTGGATTCTGGGGCTCAGTACAGGTAAATGAAGCTTATAGGCTACTTCACATTGGTGAACTTACACTAAATCAAATCCCACCTCAGATATAGATTTGGTATGGAAAAAGACACAGCCTTATACTATATTTGTTTAAGATAAACACCATGGAGAAAATATGAGTCATAGCAATATTATTCTGGCAAGTTGGGGGCTGTGCAGTTGCCTTTTGCTTTCAAATAGTGCTATTTCACATTCGGTATCATTTTTTATTTAAGCTTAGAGTGAGTGGCTTGCTTCAGGCAACCTAGTGTGCTTGCAGAGGTGAGATTCAAAAGCTGGGGACTTACAGAAGCGCATAATTTCTTAGCCACAGCAGCATTAAGATGAACACTATTTTGCTCAGCAAGGAATGGAGCGGAACTGATCTGTGGATGGAAATTGCTTCTTTAGAACTGGGATGGGGAACTTATGGCCCTCGAGATGTTGTTGGACTACAACTCCCATTATCCTTGACCATTGGCCGTGCTGGCTGATGGGAACTGGAGTCCCATAGCACCTGAAGGGTCACAGGTTTTCCCTTCCTGGCTTTAGAGGCTTGGCATTTTTGTTTTTTTGAAATTTTAATGGCTCCCTGAATGGGAACTGTGTGGATAAAACTTATACAATGAGAGCCTTCTTCTCAGGCAGCCTAATTATCGACTTCCTCGGTGCCACATTGTGAAGCAGTCACTTGAATATAATGAGTTATGCATCCATGACATTCCCTAGGCTGTGGGGCAGCAGGGCTGAACTGGCTGATGTTGCAAAGTTAACTCGAGTGTTTTTAAAGTCATGTGCTAGGGCAGAGTGCCTGGAGAGAGACTTTGCACAAATCCTGCCTCCCCCGGGGGAAGTTCTCAGGGTCCTGCTTAACTCCTGTTAATGTCAACAGAGGTTGTGGAAGAGAAGTTATGAGTGGATTGTGCTCTTTATTTTCAAAAGTATGGATAATTTGGGAATTCTCAGAGAGATACAGATCCCTTGACTTCTTTTTCAGCACGGTACATATAGTTAAATTAGATGCTTGAGCAAAGCTCCATGACCTGTAGGACCATAGAGATGAAGGAGGCTTCCTTAGTCAGTGATCCCAACCCATTAGATAGAATTTCTTGATGAACTTGAAAACCTACTTTGCACCGGGGCCGTCTAATGAAATTAAGTGTGCATTGCACTTTCTGAACTCCCATTTTTCAGACTCTTAAGGATTTTCCACTGTACCTGCCTTTTTCTCCCCCCCCCCCATTTTTTAAAAAAGTGTCGCTTAACACCCAGCCTGCAGAAGAAGTTCTGGAGAACTTGAAATATTTGCTCACTCCTCTGGGACAGGGTAGAGGAGTTATGCAGGGGTCCTGATAGCTTCCAACAACCCATGGATCAATAGAAATCCTGCTTGACTGGCTTTGAATACTTCCCCAAGCACTGCTCACATGTTCTCCAACTCACTTTCCCTAGTGCTGTCCTTGGAAGGTTGATTTTTGTCCCTTTGTGCTTTATGCACAAAGCTGCAGGATGCACATTTTGCCCTGATTTTTACTGGTTTGGCAGGATTTATTTCCCCTGTTTTTGTTGGTTTGATGTAAGGAAGTGTGTCCTGCTTTTCTCATCCTCTGAAACATGCCCCACAGTACCAAATTATGTATCATTTATGAAACATAGCATCCCAGAGCCTTGAGTTGCATCCAGTGACTTCAGATTGTATGCTGGCAGAGCTAGCCGGGGGGAGGGGGGGAGGGAGCAGAGGTCGTTTAGTACAATCTCTTGTGCTGGAGCCAAATCCTTTGTACCTCAGCTTTCTGAACAGCTTGCCCTGTGCAGAGACAACAATGCAGATGGTTATCCAGACTGGAATGTTCCATAAGCAGAGAGCAGGAGGAACCAACGGACACCAGCGCCGGGATAGCTGGAGGGATAACAGAATAGATTTGTTGGAAGAGAGTTCATTTCCTCTGAGCTACAGTTACAGATTCCGCTTGACATCTCTCCAGTGGCCTTGCAGTCTGTGAAAGCTTACTTGAGCATGCATTAACTAGAGAAAAGTTGGGATAGGGCTGGAGCCAGCTTCTAGAAGCTGCTCCCTTTAAAAAACAGCATAACTAAATAGATTATACTTTGAGGTGTGGCAGAAGACACCTGGATGTCCATTGGCTAGCTGATACCTTGTCTCAGGAGGATGGGAGAAACCATCTGCTTTGGGGGTCTCTAATTGGGAAATCTCTTGCTAGCAGGTTTGGAAGGTCACAGCTGCCACGACCAATTACCCGTCTTGTTATTCCATCCTCTGTAGGCATACCTTGTCCTTCCCCTGCCCAGTGAACCTCTGCCCGTTGATTGCTATTTCTGCACTTTAGATTCCAGTAAGAAGGATGAGGCCCACAGAATATCTTGCTGTGTGAGCTGATTGGTGGGCAGTGGTCTCCTGGCGTTTCCATGAGGAAATCTTGACCTGTTTCATAGCCTATTTTGATGCGACTCAGCAAGACCAGCAATGCCCATTCTTGTTATAGCTGAGCCTTACCCACTGCAGAACACTTGGAAGAAGCTCACAAAATTTTGCACTAGGCTGGCTATAGCTTAAAGTATATTCTTGACTTTTCCGGGAAGTGCCATAGCTCAGTGTTAGAGCATCTGCTTTGCCTGCTGAAGATCCCAGCTTCCGTCCCCAGGATATCCAGGCAAGACAGGGAGAGACCCCTGCCTGAAAGCCTTGGGAGTTGTTGCCAGTCAGGGTAGACATCACTGAACTAGATGGACCAATGCTCAGACTCGGTATAACGCAACAGCCTATGCCTCCACCTTTCTCTTTCGATAGTTAGAATATGTTTTTCTCTTTCTCTTTTTGGAAGGGATGGAACTACAGATGTGACAAGGACAATGCATTTTGGCACCCCAACAGCTTATGAAAAGGTATGCAAGAATTCGGGTTTCATCGTTGATTCTCCCCAAACAGGTTGCCTTAGGCAATTTTAGATACAATAAGCACTGTAGGTTTGTTTGTGTGCAGATTTCACTTACTACAAGGACCGTGAGATGATCAAGTAGCTCTGCTTGACACCAACCCCCCCCCCGAAAGTCAAGGGTGGCCTTATTGTCCCTGGGCACCTGCAGCAACTCTCCTTCTTTATGGGTCCTGGTTTCATCCCTCCCCCCTTTGTATCCATTGGGAACCTTTTGGATATTCAGTTTTGTGGCATTATTTTTTCATAATCAAAACCACCTGAATATTTATAGAAGCAGCGTTTTCTCCAAAGGGGGTGGGGTAGGGCAGATGTTCTGGATGCCAATGTGTTCAAGAGCCAATTAAAACATCTGGGGTGTAGTCCATATGTAAGCTGAACATCTAAGCTCTGACCACTGCTAGAAATTGCCCTTTATTTCACCCCTCCCTCCCTGTACACACACACATCTTAGGGAGATGAGATATACACTGGTCGCTTTTACTATCAAACTGAGCTGCTGCTTCAAATATATTGGCAGACCCCAGTCCAGAATTCTTTATGCACTTGTTCTAGGTTGCAAGTGACTCGTGGGCCAGGCCTTCCAATGTCTTCTGTTTTGTTCATCGTTTTCCCTTTCCTTCCAGGAGTGTTTTACCTATGTGCTGAAGGGTCACATAGCTGTCAGCGCAGCCATATTCCCCAATGGGACCAAAGGTTGGTCAGTTTCCTTTTCCTCTTCCTCAGCTGCAGTGGCACTCAGAATCAGATTTGCGTTTTCTCTGTTATCTAGTCATCAGGCCTTCACGAGGGAAGGGTTTAACAATGTGGAACTACATACCTGTATAAAAGTAACTTAGGATGAATAGAATTGCCACAGACCCAGATAAAGTATATATACAATCTAAAGAAACTTAAAACTAAAATTGAATATTTCCCTAGCAAATCACAACAATTCCCCTTTAAAAATGGGGTTCCTGTTAAGTAAAATAAAATTGACACCTGAAATTTAAGCCTGAATAAAATTATATGGAACCTGAATGAAAGAGTGTTAAGAAACTTAGGAACATAGGAAGCCATTTTCTTTCTATGGAGTCAGACCATTGTTCCATTCAGTTCAGTACTGTCTGCACTGACTGGCTGGCAGCTGTCTAGGATTCCAGGCAGAATTTTCTCCCAGCCCCGCCTGAGGATGTGGGGGTGGGGGTGGCCTTGGGACGCAATGTCAATACTCAAGCCCTGAGCTATGGCCTCTTTCCCCTCAATTTACAATTCTGAATCTCTCAGGCAAGACGCAACATTATCCCTTTAAAAAAATGAATAAATTATGCAGATAAAAGGGGTATCTGTATTGTTCCCTCAGCATAGTACACAAAAGGAAAGGACACGGTTATCTACACATCACACAATGGTCAATTGCTTTATCCGAGAAACTAACTAAGAGAGTACATGCCCCAATGATGTGACTGATACGGATGATTTTGCTGAAATACGGCATCCCTTTATAAAGTATCCAACTGAACTCTCTGATGACTAGCATCCACTATATATGCATATAGATTTATGGGGAAATTTGTTGTATGAATTAGTTTTTGTTCTGGGTGAGTGGGAAACCAATTGTTTGGATAATATTATGGTCATGCTTAAATCCTGTTTCCAAAGGTGGGTTTTTTTTTAAAAAAAAATCATAGTATATAAAATTGTATGCACATCTTTTTCAACCTGCAAGTTCAGGATATGACTGTCAGAAATAAGGCTGCTTGCTTTCTGCTCAGCTTGTTAATATATTGTGGACCTGCAACTTCCTTTTGTGTCTTGTAGGTCACCTCCTGGACTCCTTTGCACGCTCTGCACTGTGGGACCAAGGCTTAGATTACCTGCATGGCACAGGACATGGAGTTGGGGCTTTCCTAAATGTCCATGAAGGTCCATGTGGCATTAGCTACAAAACCTTTGCAGATGAACCTCTGGAAGCTGGGATGATTGTTTCTGATGGTAATTAATTTATTCCCATTGACTCATGACTCTTGTTACATGAACTAGTGTCTTCTGCCTCTTTGGCTTTTAATATAAGAATTTATTGTGATCCTCTTGGCTCTCTAGGTTGTTGTTTCTGGGAAAGAATGGGAGGGTGGCACCTCTCCAGTCCTTAAATATCAACAATGATTATATTAATACGTAGCATTTATATAGTGCTTGCAAGTGTCCAAATATATTTGAATCACGGACTCATAGAATTGTAGAGTTGGAAGGGACCACAAGAGTCATGTGGCCCAACCTCTTGCAATGCAGGAATTATTTGCCCAACGTGGGGCTCAAACTCATGTCCCTCAGATCAAGAGTCTCATGCTGTACTGACTGAGCTACCAGTTTGCATGCATTGACCTCAATAACCCTTACATTCCTGCATGGTAGCTCAGTATTATCATCATATCAGGAGCAGCTTGCCCAGTGGGGCATCAAACAGGCTTTTAACACCTCCTAGCCACCCCCCTCCTGGTAAGCATCAGTAACTCCATGATGAAATGAGAAAGAAACAGTTAAACAAACAAGAAATTACCGTATTTTTCGTTCTATAGGACTCACATTGCCCCCTCCAAAAATTAAGGGGAAATGTGTGTGTGTCCTATAGAGCGAATGCAGGCTGCGCTGCTAAGCCCAAAGCCAGAACAGGAAGACGGAGCACTGCGGAGGGCTCCGTCTCGCTGCTCTAGCTTGGGGACGGCTGCGCGCAAACCTCACCCCGCTGTCCTGCAGAAGCTAGCAAGGCTGTTCCCAAGCCAGAACAGCGAGACGGAGGGCTCCGTCTCACTGCTCTAGCTTGGGGACGGCTGCACGCAAACCTCTGCAGGGCAGCGGGGTGCCTTCACCCTGCTGTCCTGCAGAGGCTAGCAAGGCTGTTCCCAAGCCAGAACAGCGAGACGGAGGGCTCCGTTTCGCTGCTCTAGCTTGGGGACGGCAGCGTTCAAACCTGTGCAGGGCAGCGGGGCGCTGCGCTCCAAAGGTTCAGGGATCTTTGAGGCTGGCGGTGGGGGAAAGCAGCGCTTCCCCCCACCGCCAGCCCCACAAGCTCTGGTGAATGTACCTTGAATGCACCTTGTTTTAGAGGGGGAGAACAAGAAAATTTTTTTTCCCCTGTTCTCCCCCTCCTATGATCCAGTGCGTCCTATGGTCCAGTGCGTCCAATGGAGCGAAAAATACGGTAGACCCGCTTTGAGGAGGAAGGAAGTCTATTAGAATAGAATAACAATCGAAAATTGAAAGTAGGGTAACATAAGTCTGTGTGTAAGAGCTTTCAGATTTATGGTTATTTGTTTGTCATTTGTTTTGTGTTTTATTTTTTGTTTGTTTCTTAAGTATCATGTTTTTATGTGTTGTAATAAAAAGTTAATAAAAAGCATAATAAAATAAAGTAAAGTAACTCCATCTCCAGGAAGCTGCTGCTCTGAACTACTCTTGCATCATTTTATAGATGAGAGCCTGAGAAATGGTGCCTGAGCTCACCTAGCAATGACTGAGATTTGAGGCAGGGTTGTCCCTTAGCTGTTATGGCAGCAATTTGTCAGCCCAGGATGTATGCATTAAGGTCTGATTTTACTGGCACAAGCATTCAGTAGATTTGGTGCACATTATCTCTTGTCTGCCATGTGAATTTTGTGGGGTTTTCAGGCAATATTGCTGTTCAATGGCTTTGGTTCTGCTCCTGCATAAAAAAATCATCCATCCTGGTTTCCTTTATTACGGTGCTGGTATTTTCACCCCCAAGTGCTGCCTCACCAATGCAGCCTCTGTGACCAAGCCATAGAAGAAGCCTTTACTGCTTTTCTCTACGAAAGGTGTAGATGTGTCTTTGGGTGTGATATGGAAGATTCTTTGAACTCCAAAATCTTCAGGTTGCTTGAACAGGAAAGCTGGGCCTTACTCCCAAGGTTGTTAGGGGGTTTGCCCTTTGGGGAAAATTTTTCTAACAGTGTTCCTGGCTAACTTTGTCTCTGCAGAGCCTGGTTATTATGAGGCTGATGCTTTTGGGATCCGAATAGAAAACGTTGTCATTGTCGTTCCTGTTAAAACCAAGGTGAGAAGTTCCTTTGCATGTCTGAGAGGAGCGATGCCTCCTTACTGTGACTTGTGAGCACAATGTCTTTCCAATGGGGAGTGAACCTGCCTTCCAAATGCCATCATGGTCCATCGTCCCTTACAACTGGCCATGCTGGCTGGGCTGATGGCAGTTGGAGTCCTCCAGCATCTCAAGGGCTACAGGTTCCCCACCAATGATTTCAAAGCCACAGCTTTTCCATCTTTGCACTGCTTGGTTGTTTCTGCCGTCCTGGAAGCTGAAACATAACTTTGGAAAGTATCCTTAATCTTCTATTAACTTTCCTAGTTGCTGATGAAAGGGAGTTTTTATGTAGGAATGAGAAACGTAAGAGAACATTGGGTTGAAACATGGTATTTGGCACAAGATGGCCAACCTTCACATTAGGACCTTCAGTGGTGTTCAAACTTTTTTCAAAGAGGGCCAGATTTGATGAACTGAAGGGCTGAGAGGGCCGACCAAAGGACCAACCTTTTTTTAGGATTGAAGTTGTTGAGGTTTTTTTAAGGATTTTACCCAGGAAATAAACTGCCACAGGGGCCAGATTAAACCATTTTTATAAAGGTGGTGAGAATAAATCTAAATGCAGTTTTATGCACCAGGGACAGTTCTCCAGAGGAATGGATGACATGTCTGGATTTGCTTAGTTGAACTCTCTCAGAATATACCCTTAATGCCACCGTTCTCCAGTTTTCTGTCATCTCATGAGAGGTGGAGGACACCAGAATGGGGAAGGCTGCATTATGGGAAATCTGTGATGGTGAGAGGGGCACTTTTACTCAGCTAGAAGCTTTCTCCAATGACTAGGATATTTTACCTCCATAGTATAACTTCAGCAACAGAGGGAGTTTGACGTTTGAGCCTTTGACCCTGGTTCCCATTCAAACCAAAATGATAGACGTTGATTTGCTAACTCCAAAAGAGGTAAGGAAAATAATAACTGTGTTGTAAAATTTGAGACTTTTACTGTGAGGACTTGAAATGCTTGGTTTTCTTCCCCCTCATTTCCAGACAGACCAAGTCTTGATGAAAACCTCCATCTTAGTACTTAGCTGTCTTAGTTTTTACAGCCAAACCTGTCGTGGTCTATTGCCAAACTTGACAGGATGATAATACAAGTGGCACCGTGGTTATTTTGGGGATAGAAGGTGGGGAGAGGAACTCCCAGATTTGCAAGTATTTCAGAAACTGAGTATATGTCAGGTGAAATTCCGGGGCATTTTGCCATTGAGGTTGTTCTGTAGTGATGCATTCATATGTATCTTATACTTGCCATGAAATCAAGAGCTGAAATTTAAAGACAAAACAGAAACATGCTTGCTGGTACTCTTCCTGCCCAGCTTTTCTCTGCGCATCATGATAGAGGGCATGGCTAGCTGCCTGGAACACTGAACCTTCCACGCTGCAGCATTTTGTTGCGGGTTCAGCTTGCCCTCACAATTGCCGTTGACCTCCATCCCTCCAAAAGTGATGCACAAGGGACTATTGTATTCAGCGGCACTTCCCCATAGACATCAGTACACAAAGGGATGCTCTTCACTTTAACTTTTTAGACATATATAATCCCTTTCCCCCTTGCAAGTAGCATTCACAGTGGCTGGAGATCAAGGTGCTCTCCTTTCTCTTTAGTGCGACTGGGTGAACGAGTACCACAGAAAATGCCGAGAGGTGGTCGGGGCAGAGCTCGAGCGACAAGGACGGCAAGAAGCTCTCCGGTGGCTTATTAGGGAAACGGAGCCCATCTCCAAGATGCACTAACAGCAGCGCACATTCTCTTTGTGTGTCTATGTGCGTTTCTGCGAGAAAGTCATTCCTTTTCACAATTGCAAGTGCAGTATTGGTTCGGCTTTACAATAATATACCATGCCTGGGGAGGGAGAGTGAAGTGGGGGGAATGTGAAAACCTTTTCATATCGATCAGGAGAGAACTTGGTGCTGGGGCTGGGTGGGAGTGGATTTTTTTTTTGGGTGGGGAGGGGATTTCTTTCCTCATGATTCTTTTATTATTATTTTCTTGATAATGAGCAAAAATAAAGTGGGAGCTATGGAGTCTGTATCTTACGGAGAAGATGGGTCAGTGGAGAAGAACAGGAGGTCACTGAAAACTTGCTGAATCACTGGATTCTATTGTTTATGCAACCGCCAAGCTTGTGCAGCTGACTGAAAACTACCTGGGAAGTGTGCAACGTGATGCAAGTTACTGGTTGCGATGTCCTGCCAAAGCACTACAGAGAACAGGGCTATGCATCAGGTGGAGATGCGTAGTAAAATGGGTCTCCTGTAGGGGCCTGAGAACAGGTGTTCCCAAGGACCCTGTACTGAAAACTTCCAAAGCCTTGCTTTTCTGCATTTTGCACCTCTCAGAAATGCAGCTCGGAGCAAGTTCACATGTACACAGTGACTGCAGCATCGTGCTATCTCTTGGCTGCTGTGAAGTGCCCCCCACCCCCAGCTCAGTCCTGTGCATGTCTACTCTGAAGAAAGTTCCACAGTGCTCAGTGGGTCTTACTTCCAGGTAAATGTACAAAGAGTTGCTGCCACAGAAGAGAATGTCCAGATAGTCCTGGCTTATCTTGAGCAAAATTATTTTTCAATGGATGCGGTTGTGTGTCATTGAGCAATAAGTGATGGGGAAAGGTACCTTCTTCTACAAACCAGCCCCGACTTGCAGCATCTGGAAGTTGCTTCTTGTGATGAAAATCGTTTTGGACACCTGCAGTGTTTAGGCATGCAGTATAATGCAATGGTAGCCACTTGGGTTTTTGTTTCCCCCCAGCTCTGAGGGTGTGGCTCCTGGGTGTGACCATTAAGCAAACATTTAGTGTTGAGGATGGAGAATGTTGAAAAGCAGCCTTGATTGTTTTGAGTGAACCTTTTACACGGCTAGGAACATGTCTTTGCTCTACCCACAGTCAAAATCTGGAAGTGCCAATAAACATCATATACTTCTTTACTGCTGTGTCCAATTTCACAGATTTCTAAAATCCCACAAATGCACCCCAAATTTCTGCAATGGGAGCACGCTGTGGACTCTTAGGCATTTTTTTCTTAATTTAATGCAGTCTGATTGAAGAATGTGAGAAGCTTTGGAGGCGGGAGTAAGGGCTTTAGTCTTCCTTAGGATCAGAGATCTGAATGTGGGCTGTCTACTCTTTCACTCACGGATTAGAGTGGACACGTAAAAGTTAGATCTAGTTTGTTTATTTATTAACATTGTTAACTCACCATTCTCCAAAGAGCTCTGGGTGTTCTGTCAAGTCCATCCTTCAGTCCAAAGATATAAACCAGGTAGCTCTTAATATTTCTGCAAAAAAAGTGTTTCAACTGGGAAGTTGGTGCTGAATTGCTCTTGCCTTGGGCCACTGAACAAATATTCAACATCAAAACTCTACTCCATTCCAGCAACGGGGAGTGCCAGGACAGAGCACACCCACACCCACACACAGGTAAACGGGGGAAACAACTTGCTGCAAAATATTTTTGCATACACAGTTCTTTTCCTTCCATTTTATCTTCACAACAACACTTGAGAGGTTGGATAGGCTGGGAGAGGAGGACAGGTCCAAGGTCATCCAACCAAATAGGGTCATTGCTGTATGGGGATTTGAACTCGGACCTCCCTCATCCTATTTAGACATTTTAACCACTGTATCACCTGGGGTCTCTTTGTACTCCAGACCATGCACTTTCTATATTATTGAGCCCGGTCTGAATCTTTAACAGGAGGAATTGCTGCATGGGCACTAAATAATGAAACGATGCTCCTAAAATAATGGCATTCCAGACAAACACTCTTCAAGCAAATCTTTGTTAAGGCTCATTGTCATTAATTAAAAACGGAACAGGCTCTTTCAGTCCTTAAGAAGTTAACAGTGACCTGTCTCTTGCTGTATTTCGTCTGATTTCTGTTCATGCAAATCCTCTTAACTGTCCCTCACGGTGGCAATTTGCTAGTTCGGCTGCCATAGTCAGGCCCATATTGGTTCCTACTAATATTAAAACACGTCACTCTCTGAGGCAGGAGTTTGATGGAATTAGACCGGGTTTTGCAATACGAACGCAAAGGTGCCAAACGATTAAAAGAATCCTTATTAAGAAGTGCTCAGTCATTTTGTGCGAAGAAACGGGCACATCAGGATGAGACAAGACACTCAAAGGCAAATAGGCCTAGTATAAATTTGCAGCACTCTCAAGTGCTGAGGTGAAGATAAAAAAGCAATTATTATTATTTTTGGGGGGGGGGGGAACATGGAGTGAAGAACTTCCATTCGGCACCGGAATCAAACCAAGTGTACTATTGAAGAGGGGGCAAAATCTGCCTTCCAATACTGGGATAACCACGGGATGGGGGCAGGATTTCCCCCCTACCTTAAGTTGTCCTCCCCTGCACTTCCTCTACTTTCCCCCACAGATTAGAGTCATTTGCTTCCATGTAGGAGATGTGAATTGTCCCCTTACAGTGACCTAGTGGAAGGAGGCGGCTGTTGTGGTTTCCATTGCAGTGATATCAGACATTGCAGCCTCTTTATGCTGCAGAGACTAATGGGAGCCATTTGTGTGTACGGGAGAAGGAAAGGGTTCAAGGACAAGAAGAACCCCACTAGATCCTGGCCCAGAGATCCATCTAGTCCACCATTTTGTTCCCACAGTGGTCAACCAGGTGTTGATAGGAAGCCCACAAGCAGGACATGAGGGACGTGGGTGGCGTGTGGGTTAAACCACTGAGCCTAGGACTTGCTGATCAGAAGGTCGGCGGTTCAAATCCCCACAACGGGGTGAGCTCCCATTGCTTGGTCCCTGCTCCTGCCAACCTAGCAGTTTGAAAGCACATCAAAGTGCAAGTAGATAAATAGGTACCACTCCGGCAGGAAGGTAAATGACGTTTCCGTGTGCTGCTCTGGTTTCTCCAGAAGCGGCTTAGTCATGCTGGCCACATGACCTGGAAGCTGTACACTGGCTCCCTCGGCCAATAAAGCGAGATGAGTGCCGCAACCCCAGAGTCGGCCACGACTGGACCTAATTGTCAGGGGTCCCTTTACCTTTAAGCAGGACATGAGCACTATAGCACCCTCCTGTTTATGTTCCCCAGAAATGGATTCAGAAGCACACTGCCACTGATGCTAGAGGTGATCTCATGACTGGTAGCCACGGCTAGTTTTCCCTCACTGTGTCAGATCCCCTTTTAAAGCCGTCTTAAGTTGGTGGTGATCACTAGGCCTTGAAGCAGCAAATTCCAGTGTTTTAATGATGTGCTGCTGTGTTATTTTTTTGTCTTAAAGGCATTCAGCTTCACTTGCATGACCTCAGTTTCTAGTACTGCAAGAGAGGGAGAAAACTGCCACAATTCTACTTTTTTATATAAGCAGAGACTTTTAGGGAGGCTTTTGGGTCTAGCTGAAGTTACGGTAGCAATAAGAAAAGCGCATAATAAGAACTTCACAGGCTATGAAAGGCACCGTGTTGGCATTTTAATTAGCTTGCCTTTTTAATGCTTGTGTACTAGCTTGGAAGAATTTTAATACAACAATTAAAGCCGGGGCCTATCTCCTCACTGTTCTCTGTCCTTGGGGGATTTCCAGTGGAAGCTTCTCAGACTGGGGGGAGGGGGGGAACCCACTTTGCTTTTCTCATTAATTTTTTTCAAAATGTGGGTTGCTGCAACAGATGCATACTGATATAATAAGATGGTGGAGTGGGGTGAAGTTCTGAGAAAAGGAACTTTCTCTGCCATTTTTTAATATGGATTCATACTCGAAAGGAAATCAGTGCCATGAACAATACTGGCTTATATATCTTTTAACTGCAAGAATCAGTGTGCCACGCATAACCTTATCTCAGAAGAAATTCTAATTCTGAATCTTTAGGGATGCACCTGTCCAAGCAGAAAGAATCTTCTAGAACCTTCTGTAATTATTATTTAAAAGCCTGCCAGTTGAATATCAGATTTAAGGCTAACTCATATTGGCCCAACTTCCCAAAAGCTGGGAAACTGGAAACTAAGGCTGATGCCTTGTGCTCATATGACACAAATATGTAATATGTTCAGACCTTCTGGTCAATAATAATCTGGCTGCTGCATTCTTTACTAGCTGTAGTTTCTGAACTGTCTTCAAAGGCAGCCCCAGGTATATAACGCATTAGTGCAATCTAACCGAGATGCATTTGAAGATGCTTTGCAATTTTCTGATATCCTTTCCCCCCTTTCTCATAGAGGCCCCTTTCTTTAGTGGGCCTCAGAAGGACAGTATATTCAGAACTGAAATTTTGATTTGAAACCTTGTTTAGGCTATAGAGTTTCTGCTGCATTTGAGATTTGAATAAATAATCCATTCAGCAGTCAGAAAGACCTAGCATTTGTTCGGCACGCCTAAGGTATCTTTGCATGGCTTAGAATAGTTGATCCAGCAGGCGAGCGAGCATGTCTATCCAGGCATTTGGGCTAAGTGCAAAGTTGAATGAAGCATCCTCTTGTATCTTATTAATATTTAGGATCTTCTATCAATGATTCATTTCTCCAGGGTGTTTTTTCCTCATCTCAGTGCCATCAGCTTAACTTGCATAACTTCCCTGGGTACTGAGATAAGAACTTTACTTCTTGCATCTGCCAAGGCTTTTTCTGAGAGAACTTCTACAGACATGTCACATATTGTCTGATGTCAGGGAACGAAGGATCAAGGAGAGAAATGTAGAAGAAGCTTCACCACTGGGATTTCACAAAGTAAAAGTAAATCTACTTTTTAGAGTTATTCCTAATCCTG